ATTATACGGTCCACACTGCTAAAGGATCAGAGAACCCAGTAGTCTATACCTAGGGCTGTAATACCGCACTCAAAATTATGTGGTCCATACTTTTGGCAGTCTGCGGCCGCACTCATTTTTGTGCGGTCCGCATTGCCTCTTCTGAGTATGATTTTTTGCAATTAGCATGCATGCATCTGTTACTTCTAACTCTAACTGATTCCTATGATTATGCATTACAGACAATGGTTAGATCACATGTGTAACGTCCGGCCGGTCGTTGTAAGAATTAACGCCCAGATCCCCTATTAACTGCATTCCCCTTGTTTGTTTCTGTTATTGTGAGTTGCCGGGAAGATTTATTTGGAATTTCAGAGGGTTTTGGGACACTTAGTCACTAAATGAGAGTTTAAGTTTTAGAATTTGGACCATAGTCGGAACAGTGTGAAGACCGCCTCGGAATGGAATTCCGTTGGTTCCGTTAGCTCCGTTTGGGTGATTTCGGGTTTAGGAGCGTGTTCGAATTGTATTTTGGAGGTTCGTAGCTTAATTAGGGTTAAAATACCAAAAGTTGAATTTTTGAAGTTTCCGGTTCGATAGTGAGATTTTGATATCGAGGTCGGAATGGAATTTTGGAAATTGGAGTAGCTCCGTAGTGTTGAATGTGATGTGTGTGCAAAATTTCAGGTTATTCGGACGAGGTTTGATAGACTTTTTGATCGAAAGCGTATTTTGAGAGTTTTGAAGTTCTTAGGCTTGAATCGATGCTAATTGGTTGATTTGATGTTGTTTGAGGTGTTTTGAAGATTTGTATAAGTTTGTTTAGTGATATTAGACTTGTTTGTGCTTTTGGTTGAGGTCCCTGGGGCTTCGGGGTGATTTCAGATGGTTGACGGAAAGATTGGGAAATTGGAGTTGCACCCGAAGTTTAGGACTACTGTCATAACTGCATCTGCGGTTGAGAGGCCGCATGTGCGACTCTCGCAGGTGCGGAATCAAGCCGTAGATGCGGCCACGTGAGGGAAGCAGTTTCCGCAGGTGCGGTAGTTTGAGCGCACCTGCGTGAGCGCAGGTGCGGTAGAAGAAGCGCAGGTGCGGCCCAATGGAATTTAAGTGGAAATCGCAGAAACGGTCCTTTGATCGCAGAAGCGGTCTCGCAGATGCGTAAATTGGACCGCAGGTGCGAAATCCTTGGTCAGAAAAAGGGGCAGAACGAGGGTTTAGTTCAAAAGTTAGAAAAATTGATTGGGAGCTGGGGAGAGGGCGATTTTGGGTGATTTTTGGAGAGGAAATCTGTGGGTAGCAATTCCTTATCCCGTTCTAGTTGTATTCCATTAATCTATTGTTAGTTTTATCATTTAATTTCGGATTTGAGATGAAAATTGGGGAAAACTTTGGAGAAAGTTCTTAGACCTAAATTCCGAGTTTTGATTGGGAATTTGATATTGGATTTGGATAATTTTGATATGGTTAGACTTGTGAGAGTATGAGGATTTTGAAAATGTAAATTTTACCCGATTCCGAGACGTGGGCCCGGAGGGCATTTTGGTCATTTTACCTAATTTCGCGTATTAGCTTAGAATTTATTTGTAGAATCAGTTACTTGAAGTGTTATTTACATTATGCAATTGAATTGAATAGATTTGGGCCATTCGGAGTCGAATACTCGTGGCAAGAACGTGGTTTCGGGTTGATTTTGAGCTGGTTCGAGGTAAGTGGCTTGTCTAACCTTGTGTGGGGGAAACTCCCCTTAGGATTTAATTTGTTGATAATTGAAATGCCCTGTACGTGAGGTGACGAGTGCATACTTGTGCAAATTGTTGAAAAATCCATTTTCTTTAAGTAACTATAAATGTGATTTTCCTTTTTCCTGTTTATATCGTGTGTAATTTAAGCCTGCTAATAGCTTAGGGAAGCATGTTTAGTCGACTTAATTGCCTTACTTGCTCATGTGCAGATGCTAGGCTAGAAATACATATTTTATTTTGGTATGGAAATTCTAACCGAATTGAGTATTCTTTTGTGTTGCTGCTGTGTGTTTACTTTGGGACTACGGGACGGTATCCCGGGAGATTCCCCCCCTGTATGTTTACTTTGGGACTACGGAATTGTACTCCGGGAGATCCCCCTGCACTTTTATATTAGAACTACGGGCCTGCACCTGGTAGATCCCCCAGTATTGAGTATTTATATTTGGGACTACGGATGTGGTATTCCGGTAGATCCCCGCGCATTATGAGTTTGACTACGGGACTGCACCCGAGAGATCCACTGGATATTTATATTTGGGGACTACAGGACGGTATCCTGGGAGATCCCCCGGTTGTTATCTCTGCGTTGAGCTGTATTTATTTCTGTGATTACTTTGTTTCTATTAAAGTTGATATTGTTCTTCTATCCTGTGTTACTTTTTACTGTTGCACTTAAGTATACTGTCTTATTCTACACTGTTATATCTTGTATTTCCTTTAACCTCAGTAGGGCCCTGACCTTCCTCGTCACTACCCGGCCGAGGTTGGGCTTGGCACTTACTGAGTATCGCTGTGGTGTACTCATGCCCTTCCTGTGCATGTTTTTCATCTGCAGATCCATGTACTCCCACTCAGACTTATCACGCTTGAGGCGAGGCGTTTTGTAGAGACTCCGAGGTATATCTGCCGCGTCCGCAGACCGAAGAGTCCCCTCCAATTCTCAGTACTAGTATAGCCCTTTCTGTATTTTCCCTTGCTGGTAGACATTCTGGAGTTAGAGATTATTATGTAATCTCTTAGCTTGTGATTCATGGGGTTCCGGATTTTAGGAGTGTTAGATTGAGATTCTTGTACTGTTATATGCCAGACAGCATCTTAAACACTGTTTAACCTTGTTATCTCGATTTTTAATTACTTTCTTCTGCAATTATTTCTTTTTCCGCATTTGTTAGGCTTACCTAGTTGTAGAGTCTAGGTGCCGTCACAACAGCTCACGGAGGGCAAACTGGGGTCGTGACAACGTGGTAGATGAGATACATCAAAAGGGAGGGCAGAACCCTCCCGAGGCCGAGGTCGAGGCAAAAGTAACCTACCACTAGCAATCCAAAGAGCCATAAGCAAGAAATCTACCGCCAACAGAGTTCCTGAACCCTTCGAGACCAGTGAGTATCTCCCATCCGGGGAAGCTTCTGAGGGTAACTCTGTGCAAGCACAGCCGAAAGCCGAATCACAACAAGTTCAAGGGAGATACCAACTCCGTGATGAATCCTCCACCTCAGCTAGTTCTTCTGAGGGTTCATAGGCAAGTAGTCAAGATTCTAAGCCCTCTTCCTCAAATGCCCCAGCTGCACCAATCAATGTAGATGATGATGATCATGTCCCGGACGATGGTAGAGGGGGTGATACTGTAGTGGGGGGGAGGGGGGTTTAGAGAGGTCAAGAAGAAGAGAGACGTGGGAAGACATATTCGTTAGTTTGACTGCCTTCAACAGATTCAGAAAGTGGTAGCCCTAGAGATCGCTCACACTTGAGTGACAATTCTAGATGAAGGATTTGGACATTCACAACTCTAACGTCCTTAGACAATTCCAGGAGCGAAAGTTCACCCACAGTGTCATCAATGCAAATGACCACCTGGTTAAAGAATTTTATGCCAAAGTAGCTCACATTAAGAAGGGTACCAAGGTTACAAAAGTAAGAAAGATGAAAGTCAAATTTGACTCCTGTGCTTTGAACGCATATGTGGGATTTGAAGAAGTGGAGGCAGTCTAATACTTGAAAAAGCTGGCTATGGGTGATTCAACTCGCCCGTGGTTAGATGAGATCTTGGATGCTCGAGGGCCACGACCTCCGTGGCTCACAGCAGGGGTTACCATAGTCTGGGCTACCCTAAACTGTAAAGCAAAAGGGTGGCAGACCTTTGTGTGTAGCCGTATTGATCCGTGCCTAAATGAGAACAAACTCCCACTTCCCCGAGAAGTCTTGGTGGCCTCAATTATGGCTGGGTACCAGATCAATGTGGGTGCTATCATGTCCACCAACATCACTCTTTCTGTCCAAAAAGGTGAAAGATCCTACCCGTACCCGAACTTCCTCACAGAATACTTCAAAGATCAAAAGGTGGGGCCGAGGCAATATGATATAAAAGTAAACGCCAAGAAGCCTTTCACATGGTACCACCTGCAGGGTGCTGACAACCTGAAGTTTAAGGGTACGGCAACTACCTCCACTAGCCAGTCTGAGGAGCCAATGGTAGTAGTTACTGATTCAGCTGCTGAGCCTTCCACAGATGCCACGCCTTCTACAGTAGCCGACCCTTCCACCAGGACAACAGCCATGCCACCACCTTCTTCTGCTAGACCATCAGCTCCATTATCAGTGCCAGCTTCATCCACTCATCTATAGACTGCGGTGCGAGTCTCCCAGACATTGGCGAGTCTCACAACTAGATGCAGGCTGTAGACATGTGATTTTTGACCCTTCCCAAGATTTTTCATATTTTAGCTTGTAAATATTTAATTTAGGCCTAATATAGCTATTTCAACTATTTTTGAATTCTTTACTTTATTTTCGTCATAAAAATGTAAAATTACAAAAAATATTTCAGTTTATGTATTTTTCATAAATTTTTTAAAAAAAATACAAAAAAATAGTATCTTGTTTTTATCTCTATATAATTTCGAAAACACAAAAATAGTTTCATGTTTGGTTTAATTAATTAGTGAGTTTTTGTACTGTGTAGTATTGTTATCTTATTTTTTATTTTTTTTATTTATTTATTATTTTTTTTAAAACAAAGAGTCAATTAAGGTGTTGGATTACGATTTTAAGAGTTTTAGAGCTCAATTCTTGGCCCAATTCGGATTAGTCCATTAAGCCTAGGGACCCTTCTAGACTCTTCTTTGAAAAATAAATAAATAAAGAGACCCTAAAAATTTAGGGACTAATGGGCAAAATACACAAAAATACACCTAAACTTAGACTCTACCTATAAATTAGTGCCTAAAGAGGAGAAGGCACCAGCGCAGCTTTTCAACAGACCCCCCCCCCACCCCGAAGATCTTCTTCGACCCCACCCTCTGAGCTCCAGGACCCTGTAATTCGAAGACCAGCAGCCCTCTTCTTCTCCTACACATACGAAGCAGCCATGTGAGAAGCTTAAAGCCACCAACCAACAGCCTAACGCAATCGACCATCCCCTTCAACATCATCTCCTTCGTCTCCCTCCTCCCCAGCCCCAGAAAATCAGTAGCTACCGGACCTCACTGCCTGAAACCCGCCGGAAAAGGATACCTTCCTTTCCAGTTTCGGTCATACACAAACACAACTGAAGAAACGACCTTAACCCCAATCAAATCCTAGCGGAAAGCGCTCTTGAATCATATCTGAACTCCAGCCATTAGAAGCAGCGAAACCAGCTGCAAATAGGTCTCAAATCGTTCAGTACGAACAGCTTTTTGGTCGTGGTTTGAGTCACTGGAGTTGGGTCCGATTGCCGTCGAGTTCGACCGAGTTTCCGTTCGTTGGTTTCCGGTCCGGTTCCCTGTTTTGGGGTGGGTTCAATCTCCGTTACTGGGATTTTGGGAATGAAAACGTGGATCTAGTCCTTTACTGTTGTCGTTCGAGTTCAATCACTGTTCGAATTTCACTCGTAGCTGCGTTTCCCATCTGTTGTAACTGCTGCAATTTTTCGTTAATCGAAGGCTTCTTCATAAGCAAAAATTACTGTTGTTGTTGCTTTATCAATGGTGATATCAAATTCATGGCCGTTCCTCTTAGCGTTTATGTGGTTTCTCGTGTTGGATTTTGAATACTAGCTTTTCATTGCTATATTCACTCGAGTTTGATTCTGAGCAAAATTATTAAAGATCTTCCTTCAGGTGCATTTCCGATCTCCCTGTTATTTTATTTCTTGTGTGGTTAAGCATGATTTCAGCCTTAGTAATTGGTATTCGGGACATATAACTCATTTGGTCCTTAATTAAGTGTTAACAGAAGTTGGTTCTGCCAAATTTTATAAGAAATTGGTGTGAGTGATTTTCTTTTTACATTTAGGTACATGTAGATCTATCGTGTGTGTTGAAGTGTTATGCCAATATTAAATTTGTTGTGGCATTAGAGTTGATTCCTTTTGAAAAGATCTGTTTGAAGTCAAATATTGATTTGTTTGATTGGTTGAAGTCAAATAATTTGAACAATCTGAAGCTATGTATATTGAGTTTCTCTGTAGTATATGTTGCCTTACAATGATGTAGCTACCACTGAATCATGGGATGATTTTTTTTAAAAATTAGTAGTCGACGTTCTTTGAGTACACAGGGATACAGAAACGACGTTCTTTTAATTAGTGGTTAATTCGGGGCGTGCCATATTAGGCAAGACACCGTCTATGGCCCTCCGAGCTTGTAGTTTAAATACTCTTCAATTAAAATAATTTGAGGTGTGCCATGCCGAACAAACAGCAATTGCATGGCCCTCGTGTTAATTTAGATATAAAAGTTGATTAATTCTTAGGGCCGTTTTAAAATGCGATTGTGGTTGCGTATACGTTCGCGTAACATGCATAATCCTAAAATTAATTTGGAGTATGCGTTCGCGCAACTTCGATCAAACTTTTCTTAATAATAAAATGGGTTACAAGCTTTTAATTATTTTTAGTTTACATAGTTCATTAAATCACATATGGCCTTCGCATTAATTTCATGACCTAGAAAAATGACTAATATTTCGTAGAATATCCTTTAGGGCCGTTTAAAATACCAAGTGTGGTTGCGTATACATCCGCGTAACACAACTACACTTTTAAAAACAAAACCGAAGTATGCGTTCGCGCAACTTCGGCCCAAATTTTTCCTTAATAATAATAAAGCGTTATTAATTGTGGACACGTTCGCGTGACATAGACGCGCCAAATAAATGGGTATACGTACGCGTAACCCGTTTCAAGATAATTTTCTTAATTAAAAGCGGTAAAAGGGGCAAAAGCATATAGGTTCTAAAATCAGAAATTAAATAATTGTATAAGCCAAGTATTATCAAAGCGACCGTGCTAGAACCACGGAACTCGGGAATGCCTAACACCTTCTCCCGGGTTAACAGAATTCCTTACCCGGATTTCTGATTCGCAGACTGTAATAACAGAGTCAAACCCTTTCCTCGATTCGGGATTTAAACCGGTGACTTGGGACACCATAAATCTCCCAAGTGGCGACTTTGATTTTTAATTAAATAATTCCGTTTCGATTGTCACTTCAAGTTGGAAATAACTCCCTTTATTATACCCCTTCCGGGGGTGTAAGTGAAAAAGGAGGTGTGACACAGGCAGCTACTTCAAAGTTGTCTGACATATCCAGTGCTGTTGCAGCACAGTTTTCTGCCCCAGCAGCACCACAGGTACCTCCGTCAGTGGAGGAAACATTGAAGAAGATTCTGGACAACCAGAAGACCATTATGGAGACCCTAATGGCGCATGGGGAGGGCATTGAGGAGTTGAGAAATCAAACGAAGAAGATGCGGAAGTCTCAGGCATTGAAGAAGTCTGTGGAGAAGTTGAGAAAAGACATTTCCAAGATTACATCTGCCGGAGATCTACCATTGGACCTGCTTATGGAGCTAGTAACTCTAGCAGTACAGGCAGCACTAGCAGTACCCGAGGCACCAGAGGCAGCAGCCGGCCAGTCTGAGGAGCCAGTTGCGACTGCCCACACCGCTAAGGAGATGATCCAGAAGCTCATCAACCCAGTTGTCCCAAGCCAGGTGATGATGAGATACAACTAGAGAAGACCGAGGGTGCTGCGGATCCCATGCAGACTAAGACCACATAGGGAGTTCTCTTAACTTTCTACCCTTCCCTGTTCTTATTTTTGTTAAGCATTGGGGACAATGCTTATTTTCATTCGGGGGGTGGTCTATGTTGATTAATTGACATTGACATTTGGCCAGTAATAACTCTTATACTATTTTTCTTTTATCTTTATTTTCTCTTTGGTTATGTATATTTATTCCTCCCTTTCCCTTGATGTATATATTCATTTTCCCTCGGTTTGTATATTCATTTGTTTTACTTTCCGTAGTTTACTTCATAGATTCTTTAGTTTATTGTCCTTAGTAGTATAACTTCTTATTTACTTAGTAGCTTCTTTTTGATTTGTTAGCTTCTTTTTACGTTTGAGTGATCAATAAGCCTTTGGTTTTCTTAATCCACGATTCTTTCCAAAGGTGGATTTTGTGTGAACCGGGTGGCTCTTACCAATGATGGATGGTGTGACAACCTTCTTAAGGGATTGAGTCCGTTTTCTTTTATATTTAGGCAAATATAGTAGTAAGGAATAAAAGGGTCTCAAGTATGCTTTACTTGGTACCAACACATTTACCTACGACCTTATGGTTAAAAATAAAGTTGTTGGAAGAAAATAGCTTTAGTTGTAACCTTTTGACTCTTGTGTTGACTTAAACAGTCATCGAGTGGTTCAGTTGAGCCAATTGTGATTCTCAAAATTAACTAGGGTTGTTGTGGGCCCTCGACTCTGTTCACTTTAGCAATCCAGCAGCGTGAGAGGTGAGGTATTGAATTGCAAGTCCAAGTATCCGTGCTAATAGTCTAGAACTTAACCTGAATGTTTTTCTAGGCGAAGTTCTAAGTGTAGCTTGGCTTGAGAAATGATTGTAGGCTCTCCTTGATCCAATTTGAAGTTTGAAATCTTCCATAGCCTACCAATGTAATATCCCTAGTCAACCCATTTGAGCCTAAGCCTTTTTTATTTCAATAACCACGTTACAAGCCTTTATCCATTTTGTAATGACCCTCTCTTGGCACCCGATCTTTCCTTAGCATTCTTGAGAAACAATTGACAAAAACATAAGTTTGGGGGAGAGACAAGGAGTTTGAAAGTGATATAAAGGTACAAAGAAGAGAAAGAAATGAAGAAAAGGGAAGACAAAGAAAAGAAAGAAAGAACAAAACGAAAAATGCCAAAAAGAAAGTGAATAAGGTAGAAAGTTAAAGGGATTCAAATAAAACAATGATGAAAGGCATGGAGTAAATAGAAAAGGAGAAAAATGAATGTCATGACCGTGAAAGAGTGACGCTACGTCTCTCTAGTTCCCCCGAGGAAAAAGAAATTGACTCAAAGAGTCGACAAAGTATGAGCCAAAATGAGAAAATGGAGTGCTTATGGAAAGATGAACCCATTCTATTTCATCAAGACCTACCTTGATCCAAAAAGCCTTCATTACATCCCAAAAAAACCCTACATGATTTCAAATTGAGTGTGCTTGCATTAGTGGTAATTTAGATAAGGAGCAAGCTTATGGTACTTAGAGCCGGACTTGTAACATTATTTTGAGAGAGATGAGCGAGCTTTTCACAATCCTTGCTTCGAGTGTTACATTCTAAAGTGAGATTTGCTAACGGAGAGTAAAGGAGGAGGAGTTTGGGATCCACAATGACCTACATGAAATATCGAGCTTCCTTGATGAATAAAGTCAACTCTTGATGCTCTAGTGTCACATTAGAACTATTGTACTCAAAAAGTCAAATAATTGCATTATTGATAATTCATACGTGTTGTGGGTAATTGTTGGTCTCAATTGATCTGTGATTGATTAACCTCAGGCTAGACGAAATAGTTCTTATTTTGTGGAGGTGGGAATTACCTTATTTGCTTGAGGACAAGCAAAAGCTTAAGTTTGGGGGAGTTGATAAGTAGGGATTTTGACTACTTATTTGCGCTTTTTTACTTTCATTTTAGATCAAAATTGCTTAAAGGTATTCCCAAAAACTAATGAAATGTGCTTGCTCATAGGAGTGTTGCAATATGAGCCAAAGAAATGAAAATCAACTCAAGGAGTAAATTTGGACAAGCACCTAAACAAGGCTAAAGGGGGCACAGTGCGGACCGCACAGAAGTGAGTGCGGCCGCAGAACCTAAGGGTGACCTCTGACAGAATTTCAAGGAAAAATATGGACCGCACAATTCTAGTGCGGCCGTTGAAGATGAAATTCAGAGAATTGTATTTTTGGGCCATGAAGAAGTGCGGACCGCACCATTATTGTGCGGTCGTAGGATGTATAGTGCGGCGGCACTCAAAATTGTGCGGTCCGCACAATTAAATGAACTGCGGCCGTATCCCACTTTTATGCGACCGCAGAAGGCCCATTTGATCAGTCAAGCTCAGAGTGTGGACCGCACACAGAATTGTGCGGCCGCACAACCTCCGCAGGGGCAATTTTGTCACATATTTTAAGCTTAATATAAATATAACTTTTTGTCATTTTTAGGTTAAGTTTTATCAGTGTAGAGCACCTGAGCCGTTTCTCTTTACTGTTTTGAGTAATATTGTTCTAGATTAGCTTCTAAACATTAGATTTTCTTTCCCTAATCAATTATTATGCATTCTATCTCAATTTCTTCTTTAATTTCTTCATTTTTCATGAGTAGCTAAATTTCTAGCTAGGGTTGTGGCCCAACCCTAGTGTGGTTACTTAATGGGTGTTTGATTTAGGACTTGTTTGTGATTGGGTTAATGATACTTAGCCTAGTTTTTGCTTGAATTCAAGAATTAATGGTTGTAAACATTGATTCATGCCTAATTGACTTAGTCTTTACTTGAGAAAGAGAGACTAAGTCTAGGAAAACTTGGCTAACATGAAATTAAGAAATTGATAGCCCCAATTAAAGTTTCAAATATATAGATAGTAAGACCCGACTTGAGCATATATCACGTGTTTCGTGCAATACCTATTTGGACTTGAGAAAGCCAAATTGGGCAAAATCACTCAAACTTGCCGAGATGTGTAGAATGGGTAATTGCGTGTGATTACTATATTACAACCCCGGCCAATCAAACTTGCCCTAGAGTTTATAACCCGTTAGGTAGCCACCTAGGTTGAAGTCACGACCCTAGATCTTTTATCATTTGAAAAACAACCAAAACCAAAAATATTATCTTCTAGTTTTATAATTGCATTCAATAGCTTGAAGTAGAAGTAAAAAATAACAAGCAAGAATGTGGAATTGTAATTTGAGGCACATCATACAATTACACTAAATATATACCTAATCCCAATTCTAACTCCCTGTGGATTCGACCCCGACTTGCGTTGGGTTTTATTATTGCATCGACCGCCTCACTACCTATATTTGTGGTGTGAGTTTGGGCGACATCATGTACATGGGCTTATATGTGGTATTGACTAGTGTAGACGTCTAGATTTCTTCCATGTATTTAATTGTATTTGTCACAACATGTTACATCTTTCATTGTTGAATTTGCTCTTACGTGCCTTACTTGAAGTTATTAGTACATGTTCTATCTTTTATTTGTAAAGTTTAGGCCTTACCTGCTTGAATTATTCATTGTAATTACTTGTTGAAATCATGTCTTATCCGTTACGTGCCTTAATTGTTAATTGATTCTTTGCAATTGTGCCTTTATATATTAACCGTCATTACTTGCTATTTGACTTTGTGGGTCATCATGTAACTATTTTATCCGGTTGTGACCTTCTTTGTTTAGTTTCTTTATTTCATTTAATTTTGTGAATACGCGTAGTTGGTTGTCGTTTATTTGTTAATTTCATATTGTTCTAGGATCGGGTTGCACGCCACAACGGATATTTTTATTATTGTGTGGGAACGGATTGCATGCCGCAATAGATATTTTTATTATTGTGTGGGATCGGGTTGCACGTCACAACGACATTGAAAATATATGATATGGATCGATAAGGACGGAGGGTATGATATAGGTGGGATCGGGTTGCACGTCGCACCGAATGTTGTTATTATTGTATGGGATCGGGTTGCACGCCGCAACAAATATTGTTATTATTGTGTGGGATCGGGTTGCATGCCGCAACAAATAATGTTATTATTTTTTGGGATCGGGTTGCACGACCCAACGGGTTGATATATTGTAATTGTTGTGACAATAAAGTTATCCTAAATTGTTATTTTATGGTACGTTGTATGTTGGAACGGTTTTTCTTTTTCCTTCAATCATTTCACTGGTATTTGATCATATTTTGTTGACCATTCTTAATCCAGTATTGAAATGATAGTGACATCTTATGCGAGTCATGCATTCTATATGGTTTGTTGTATTACTCTAATGTGCCAATACGTGCCTCCGTTATTACTTGGTAAATTAAAATGTCAAGGTGAATTTGCTTGCCTAGGGTCATTATCTCATATTATGTTGAATTGTTGGTAACATAACGATTTAAAATAAAAAAATTATTAACATGTCTTATTCTATGTGTCTCTTAAGATAGAACTCGTTATCTCACTCGGTGCCTTACTATGTTTTAATGGTTATAACATTTTTACTTTAATTGAATTCTCAATTTTAACTCATCACCCTAATTATGTTACTTTACTTAAAATTGTTATCGCATTATATTTCTAACAAATTCTATATTTAAGTTGGTAATTCAGCTGAGGTTTTATTTTGTTTAAATACAATATTTTTACTTAATCTTATTAATTTCTAAATTAAACTCATCTGATACTCTATTTTCACAACCTGTCCTTTATTTTACTTTATTTGAATCCTAAAATAAATTTATTATATTATTTGATGCCTAATTTTATCCAAGATTGTTATTATGCTTTATTGTGTTTAAATATATCTTTCGATCATCTTAATTGATATTGATACAGATGTAATGTACAAGGTTGTACGAGGACTTTGTCGTACGAAGGTGATTGTTATTGTGGGCACGGGGTGCCATACATGCAAGATTTAGTAATTATGGGCCATGATTTGTGATTTCAAGGAGTGGTACCTCGGGGTAAATCTTGTTGTAAGTCCATGCATTGAGAACGATTTGATTAATTAAGTTGTTATCTATTTTCCTTATTGAGTTCGTCCATATCCCATTGGTGTTCTGATTATGCGGTTGTTCTATTCCCGTCTACTTCTTGCTGGCATTTGAGTTTGCATTTATACTCGTCGTTAGTTGTAAATTACAGTCCTTCCACTGTTAGTTATATGTTATATCTTGTACAGGTTTCTA